GTGTGTGTGTGTGTGTGTGTGTGTGTGTGTGTGTGTGTGTGTGTGCATGCGATGCACACACGAAGATTTCAAGACATTTTAAACATTATGCAAGCATATGGCACTCGCAGACCGTATAACCACAATCCAGATGTCAGTGAAGTTGTCATTCTTTTCAGCCACTTAGTTAATCAATCCCCAGGTGTTCCCCGGACAAGACCAAGTCAAAGTAAGTTCACATCAGAGGCTAGTTCAAGGGAAGGGAAACACTGAGGCTCCAAGACTCTGCTGCATGTCATCTTGGCTTAAATATCTAATTACATACAGTAATTGCTTTGTTGGGTGTTTTTTCCCCTTTGCCTAAAATCCAGCCTTGAGCTCCATTAATGCTGTTGGCAAATAGAGATGCAGCAGTTGCGATTTTCTTGTTGCACACAGGGACGGGCATAAAAACATTTTCCTGCCACCGGTTTTCACGCTATTCTGCAGCTCGACAGTTGGTGGAGGTAAAAAGTAACTAAGCACAGCAAAGCATTACAAAATTCTAGATAGGGGCTCTTTTAATTTCTCTTCCAACACCAGAAAAAGGGTGATGTCATCAAGACAAAGTCTGGGGCTGCGCCACAGCTGAACAAATGGGAAGCACCTACTGTTTGTGGAAGTGAGGATGCACTAACAGAGCGTTCAATGAGTCCAACCAGTCGCCCATCCCTGTCTGCGGCAGATGTCTTTATTTCACCACACCTCCTCTCAAACTGCTGGGCAGAAATCAAAGTCTTAACATTAAAAAAATGATCCAGTCTGCAAAAAAAAAAAATACTGTGGATTTTGTCAACCACAGTATTCTGATAATATATTCTAAAGGAACGTGGAACCTTGTAAATTGCATCTTTGTGTGTTGCCTCTGAACCAGAGACTGTTTATGAGAGCTGTATTTTCCCTTTCATTTCCATTTGCAACACTTACGTTAGAGCAACTTTCGCGGCAACATCACTCACAAAAGAGTTAAAGGTCACAGTGCTCTAGGGGGACTCTTCCTAAGTAAACAATAACCTGACCTGTCAAACTAAAATACTACCATGCGCCAGCGCGCAAACAACGTTTAAAGTGAATGACAGTGAACGCAGCTTAGGTTACAAAGCAATCACGTTAAACGTATACGCAATGACAATAAACACAAACAAACTTTGTCAGCGCTAAACCCAGGTGAAGGCATGAACACTACTATTAGTTTGATATTTAGTGACTTCGGGGTTCTTTTACATAAGTTTGGGAACCACTGACACTGTGAGCAACTTCACAAACGCACCACACTCGCGACCACAAACGCTCGTGCAACGCAACCCATGAAAAACGTGTATTGACGTGAAGGTGCCGTGGCACAAACTTACCCACCAACGTTGTCAGGTTGCATGCGCACCCGTCTAAACTTTGCATACTGACTAGTTTAACACATGTCCCGGTAACTTCTTCGTAGACTGGCTCGCTTCTTCAACAGCTCCCGCGGAGAGACAGTTGATGCAGAAACTCGTGCTGCGGTGGGAACCCGCTCTCTCACTCTGTTCTGATGCATTCAGGAACTCCTCGGAATACTGTACAGCAAATTCTAAACCAGGACTCTTTTTTTTTGAAAATAGGGAAATTAGCATTTAGACCACAAAACCAAGCTGTAAATTTACAGTAGTTTGTGTGTGATGTCATAACATAGTAAAACAATGATTTTGACCTTACGTGTTTGAAGCCAATAACCATGAGATGATAGTTGTTTGTATTTTAAGACCATAATCATTTTGATATGTATTGCGTTCACGTGGTGCATCCCACAAAGACCACATAGTATCATTCAGCATAGGAGCATTGGTTGGTTCCTGAGCATATGGCTTCTGCAAATAATTTGTAGTGTGAACTACACTGGATGGGAACTTGGAGGCAACAAGGTAGGTGCACAGAGGGTATGACATATGTCACTTACTGGCATACTATTGGTATGGAAGTTACAGCCACTGCAGTGTTTCGTTTTATGTGGCATAATGCTAGATATATGCATTTAACTGTGCTCTTGTCATGAGTGTTTTATAAAATATTAAGCGTAATGGTAAAACATCCAACGGTACTTGAATGCAGCATCTTCTTCTCTCCCCAATAGCCCACAAAGCTGTGGACAGGAGGACAATAACTGCGGCTGTGGGTTACTTTGTGGTCCTGCGTGTGTGTGCGTGTGTGTGTGTGCGTGTGTGTGTGTCTATGCGTATGTGTCACCATATTGGAATGTCTGGCAAGAATTGCGCACCATATAGCCAGTCACAGACTTCATGCGGCGTGTCTCCTACACCGTTTCCCATACTATTTGTCCCCCCCTCTTTTGAATATATAGTTTTGCAACAACTCACCACACACTCGACTATTGAATATTGTCTACAAAATACCTGCTTCCAGTGCATGCAAGCTAGCCCGCCACATGATACTCACCTTATGCCATCTTCAATCAGTTACCGTGCTTGCCCATCATCTGCCAATCTGGAGCCAGATGTGCCTGACCTCAGCCAAATCAGCCACATTTATATCTGGGACAGGTTCAGTCGGACGATGAATAATATTTGGAATACGTCTGGTAATAATTTGTTCACTGTGATCGGCAAAGACAGGTTTCGCACGCCGCAAATCAATGTGGTGTCCCTGCTCTACTTATAGATTGATTTTATTGTAAGTGAATATAAATTAGACTGCAATTTAACCTGTGGACTCCGTTCCCGCGGGACAGCGAAAGCACGTGCTTACGAGAGATGCCCTTCACAGCCTATAACTGCAATTTATTGCAACTTGGAAAAAGGGGCATTATTTTCCAATTCCCTCCCGCTCAACTGATGGGAAGTCTTATGCCATCCGTCAGGAATGTGCAACCCTTTCATTCCTCCAACTCTCCTCCACCCAGGAGCGCGCAAACATTTGGGAATCCCCAGCTCCCTGATAAAAAAGGGGGCGGAGGTTGTTTTTTTTTTTTTTTCAATGTCCCAGCATATCTTTATTACAACCACGCCAAAACATCTGATGTGACTTTATCCATCGCTTTGTAATCAAAAGTAAAGACAGAAAGTAACCTAGATAAATAATATACTGTAGATATAGTGATCGTTGACGGTCAAAGGTGTGTGTAGATAACATGATTCTTTGACCTTATCTGATAGTATCAGTACAAACGTGTTCTTCCAAAGCACGCCTGTTTACAGCAAACTGCACAATTAACTAACTGCCGTCTACGATGTTGTTGCTGTTGTTTTATAAAACATATAAATGTGTATGGCTGAAAACAACTTAAATGACTCTGGAAACAGAACAAACATGTTTTTTTAATTCAGTTTATGACTGAAACACCACAACTATTAGAGTTGCCTTTATCACTGATGATTGAAAGTCGCGTTCAAGAGCAAATCGTTGTTTTGTGGATCCTGCCCTCTGCTGTCAGTGAAGGTTCACTACATGTGCAGGAAGCTGCTATTATACCACTGCTACTTCTGCTGAAATAATAATAATACTGATGATAATAGTATTGATCAAAGCAGACGCACCATCGCTACTGCGACTACTTATACTACATCAAATCAACAACATAGGCCCATGGAAAACTAAGTAGCTCTAAAGCCGTAGGAGTAAAATAAAGAACCTTTTCATTTTTATACGAGACATCTTTAGCATCAAGTTACTCCTGATTCTCCCCAACAACAATGAGCTACTCTGTTCTACTTCAGATTCTTCACACTCCGCTGAGCTCGGTGCTCAGCAGAAGAATTACCCTGCAGCCGTGCCTAGATCCAGCATAAGGTTTATGCCACCATCTGCATGCAGTTAGCCCTCTATGGACGGTACGAGCCTTTGTTAATAAGCAAGATATGGGTTATGTTGCAACACAATGCAACACAGCCATTCTGCATGAATTCACAGTGCCAACTGGGTATAAACAAAGGGGGAAATAAACAATGGTGTGTTGCTCAAAGCGGCAAATAACCTGCATGCACGCGTACGCACAATGGCTGCAATCCACTCAGCCAGGTACTATTCTGATCTGAGCACTCCTGTCAACAGCTACCTGACTCAGTAGTTTGTACCATTGTACACCATGGTGACACTATAGGCCTTGGGACAATGATGCAAGTACAGGCAATGCCTCTACACAGGTTGGGTGTGTTCCACAAGCTCCAGGCATGTTAGAAAGATATAATAAAGGCATGAATTCTCAAGTGCTTATGATAAAGAAACCTGTCTGCACAAGTTTGACGGCAGAAAAGTAACACTCAAGTCAAGACCACAGACATGCCTTTTAATATTCATATTTATTATCAAATCATAGTATATTAAATATAATCAATCACTATGCAGAAATATACACATCTTACAGAATATGTTGATGTAGTACATTACAGAAATAGTAAAATAAATACTATTAAAGCATAGTTTAAAAACCCCAAAACAGCTTTTTTTTTGTAAGGCTTACAGGTCCTGAAATAATTTTTTTGTTAACCATTTGATGGAAATACAACATATTGTGCATAGGCTACTAGCATTCAAGTCAATGAAATGAATATGCTGAGGTAAAACTCAACATCAATGCAAATCAAGAAAGAAGAACGTAAAAGTCTCAACATCTTAAGTGAACATAACAGTCTACAGCACTACCAACAATGACTTCTTTATTTATAAATGTCACAGTGCCTTCACATTTTCTTCCTCCACACTAAAGTAGAATACTGGGAACATGTGTGATTTTATCAATTGCACACTTTGAATGATGTCACAGCTCATCACATGACAGATTAATCATATCTCGTGTTGTACAATGAATCACATAACTATATTCAACTCTTTAAAACAAATAGGTGGGACCCGAATTTAACGAACTGATATACATTTGTATTCATAAGTATTGGTAATAAAATATAATATCAGTTGTAATCATAATAACCACAACAAATAAGTGCTCATAGGACGCTCTCCAGCAGAGAGACGTTCATTGTTAGTTTAAATATTCTTCTTGGAATCCTTGTTTTGAGAGACTAGAAACAACAAGATGTGAAAGGACGAAACTGCAGGATATTAAATAGCAGGCCAGCAGCACTATTGCCTTCCTTTTCTGGCTGTATTTCACCCAATTAAACATTCCCACAACAGCGGACCGCCTGTTGTACTGTGAACCCCTTGCTAAATGCTAAAAAACACTATGATTTATACCAGACACAAAGACAGGCTGCAGTGCTAGAAATCCACATCCCTTGAAATAAAAAGGTATTTCTCTTTTTTTCTGCAAACAACAACAAACTGATCACCTTTGATTCTCAATCCAGCTGAGGACAGTCATACACAAGGAGACATTTTAGTAACAAAGGACAAAACACAGCAGTGTAGTTTATATAGTGTTGTCTCTCATTTTTCCTCTCTAGGAGGAGGTTATCATCGAGCAATCCTCGTTGGATGCTCACTTCATTTGTTGAATTATAGTGGCAGCTTACCCTCTAGCAGCGACAAAGTGCAAACAACAAGCCTCTTTGAGCCTCGTGGAAAACATATTTTTAGAATGCGGAGAACATTAATGAGATGACAGATAAGACATTAAGTGCCAGCCAACATGTGAAGAGTTCACTCCTCCTGAGATAATGAAGGAATCAGGGTGGGGATAACATTCATGCCTCAGGTGCCTCATTAAAAACTCTGTTCGACTTGATCTTAAAAATCACGAGTTATTGAGTTGACTTTTTTTCAGAAGCATCCTACTTCATATTCATAACTATGCACAATCACACCTGAGAGCTGCCAGAACAAGTTGCTGGTACCTGAGCAGCTCCACTGGGGGAAGCTGGAGGTTAAAGGTCCTCCTGCTTAAGGCACTTCAAAGATGAGATAATAATGGATATTAGCTTATTATCTTGTTGTATAAGAGGAGACGGGGGTGACAGAAGGAAAATAAAACCACAAAGGACAACATTTGTCATGGATTGTGGTGGATTTAGGTGCGATTCATATTTGGGCATTATTATATCATTATAAGCAGTTAGACGAGAGATCCCTGAGTGAATCATACAGCTGTTTTCAAGTAAAAGGTTGTTGTTTTTTCTGAGCGATTTTGGGGATTTTATTTTCATCTTTTCTTGTTGTTGTCTTTCTAATAAACATGTTTTGTGTGTTTGTAAAGTGCTAATACAGCTTTTTTTGGTTTGCTTTACATTTCCTTTTCTTAGAAACAGAGTGATCCTAGTTGTATCGTTAGCATCATTAGTATTTTTTGCAGTCCATAGTGCCTAGTGCGTACCACAATAAAATAAAATATGTAGTGTTCTTTTTTTTCCAGTATACCATTATTGCCAAGTAATGTAACACAGTAGGGGTGATCCCAATGCAGTAAACCTCTCTCTTTGGCTATTTTAAAGCAGACGTGAAATGGGACTGAGGATATCCTTCGTAAAACTGTCTCATTGTGGTGAAATTCCACCTTCAGTCCCATTTATGTAGTATACGTGTTATTGAGGAGAAAACAGGAAATCTGTGTTGAGTAAGCGGTTCGTTAGCTGCTCAGGCTCCAGGGAGCGTGATATTGTTTGCGGGCAGCAACAGTTTTTCCTCCCTAGAACTCCTAACTGACCCCGCTAGATTATCCTCCTATATTTGTATTTTCAAACCTCCTCACAGGTTTCCATGTAGGTAACAAGTAAAATACAGAATAACATATAATAATGAAAAAAGTATCAATATTAATACCAAATCATCCTTTGTTGCTTCTCATTCTCAGCTCTTGCAAGAGTTGCTGTACCACTTCTGAAATGCTACTCCACTAGTGCTCAGCACTACGCACAGTGCCCCTCCCAGGCTCCACATGGTCGGCGCGCGGTTGAAGAAAATAAATTGGAAAATGAACGCCAGCACCACATCGATGGTCCTCATCAGGGCCACGGGTCCGGCCTTCTCAATCTGCAGGGCCTTTGTGAGGAAGGTCTGGCCGGCGATACCCAGGACAGCAGTCAGCATCAGCAGCCAGCGATCGCGGCCACAGTACGGGATCTTCCACTCCCCAAGGACGGATAAAATGATGATGCACTCGATGAAACCGATGACAGCGTAGTACCAGACAGAGAGGTAGTAATGGACGCTCTTCCCCATCTTGCGAAGGACAACAAATGTACAAGAAGCCCCAATAGCTCCTGTGATTAGATCAAAAAAGAAGACACTGAATGAGAACAGCGCACACAAGAATAATGAAAACCAATAAAAAAAAGACATATAAGACTTAAAGGACAAATGTAATATATGTCTAATCTACTGCTTTATGGCTTCATACATATTAAAGAAGTCCTTGTCGAAATATTTGAGTCAATCAATTTAATGTGAGTTTCTTCTGGTGGCTATTGTGACCATTTTTCACTTGCATTCTATATTATTTTCTGCCAGGTTTTTGTACTCAAGCACTCAACTCTTGGAATTTAGATATGCACATAATTAAAAAAATCGCTCCCTTTTTCTCGGCGGCGTTCGTTATGTCCACCTGCTCTCAATGCCAGAATGCCATCAGACGTGCTGTTCTGGAGTTCAACCTATTTGAAAGTCTATTTTGGTGGCCAAAGCTCAATCTAGTTGCGGCTAGAAAACACGCAAAATCAGGGGAATGAACACTGCTGAGGAATAACAGCCTTCCTCTGTGCGATGTTTCACTTGTGCATCTGGTGTGAAAGGAGGGTAATTCACATTCAAAGGTAGCAAGGGTTGTGAGATGAATCATCAGTGTCAGTGTGCTGTTAAGAAGTTACATTGCACTGCGGAAGCGAAAAGAAAACTTAGCAAAATGAAGCTCCTAATTCATCGGGACACATTTTGAGACTCTTGAGTGGCACAAAAGAAAACCAACGAACAACTAAAACTAGGTTTCCTGGCACAGTGTCAACTTTTGGTGCTTTCGAAACGTGAAAGAACCTTAAACGACACTCTTTCACATAGAGAGGAGCTTTTTGAGCGCCATGACTGGATGGAGACCCTCCAATAGTGATACCATGATTAACTGAGAAAGGTAACCCTGGTGTGCCAGGAGATGTTACTCTATTGCATTGAACTCCCCGAGATGCCATGGTAATCCTGACTTTGTTAAGTGGTTAAAATAAACACTCTGACATTTCCTACAGAAGCTGTGTTTATCAATCGTATCACCTGCAAAGGCAGCGATAGTCCCCTTGATGTGGTTGCCGTAGTTGCCCTCAATGCCACGCCGATGCTCGCCAAAGAGGAATGGTGGTCGGGCGATGAGGAGGACTCCACTGATGGTGAAGACAGTGAAGACACAGTCCCAGATTGTGCACCTCTCCTTCAGGAAGATCCAGGCCAGGAGGGAAGTAAAGACCGGATTACTGAAACAGCATTAGTAAGAGAGAGGGATAAAGGTGAGAGCATGGGGGGAGGAGTCATAAATGTGGAGATGCAGTTTATAAAGAGGCAAGTTGAGAGATGAGGTATCCCAGATCTTTAATCTTAAAGTAATTACTGACAGATATTTGAGAGAGCGAGATAATTCAATTGGAATAAGCTATTTCTATTCGTATAATCTCCACCAATCCACAATCAATTAAGTTCCTACCTGAACATGATGACTGTGGCGTCCGCGAGCGGCATCTGCTGAACAGCATAGTAGAGCAGGATCATGGCATTGGAACCAATAAAACCCCGAAGCACCAGATGAATGCGTTTGTCTCTGGGACCAAGGAAGCCTGTCCTGGAGGATCAGAGATATGAGGATGATGGATGGATGAACGACTGGGTGACTGGATGATTAGACTGACTGACAGAGGATGTGATCAACTGAATTTTTAGACAGGGACGGACGGAGACAAATTGAGCCGAGAGAAGACGAATGACTTGATGGGTGGGTAAGTAATGTGGAGATGACAGTGATCGATGCACAGATGAACAGATGGGCCTGAAAGGAGAGGAGGAAAGTTGATCATGAAAAATGTAAAGACAAAGAAGAACGTAGAGGACGGATGGATGGATGGATGGATAGGTAAATGAATGAATCGAAATACTGGCGGCAGTCTTTGGGAATTACGTTTATTTCAAAGGTGAACTGGTTTTCCGTTCATCCGTGCAACAATGAAACAAGAGACAAGCTAGTGGAATAAATGGATAGAAAGTACAATTAATAATTGTCAGACGCGATATTTCCTTTCCCTTTATGTGCTATCTCTTGGTGGTTCACTTCTTTGGATTACTTGTGTTTTATATTTTTTGCTTAGCGGAGGGCCTGTTATTGTACACATCGTGACATGATAGTTGGGCATGGCTTGTGATAAACATTATGGATATTTAGATAGATATTTACTCTGCTGAGCTTCTGCCTCTGGTCAAAGAAACCTTGAGGTAATAATGGACAGCATATCTAAAACATGCACGTGTCTCTATTACAAGTGGTTTATTTAATGGATTTCATTTCTTTGCACTTAAGAACTGATAATCTGATAAACAGTGTTAGGTGAAAATGATACAATATGCTATTATTGATACAGAAAGTTTGATAATGTATAACATTTATACAAAGCATATAACTTCATGTGGGAAGGCTTTACTCAAAACCATGCCAACACTTCTCTACATGCGTTTCCATCAGCAGGGCTGAGGGGAATATGATATTAATAATTCATGTCTTTCACAGCTTTTTGACAACTTAAACTTGTTTGAGCAATGATTGTTGGTTAAGTCATGATACTTGCCGATGAGGTGGGCGGCAAGGCATGAAAACAAACAGCAGGGATGTGTACTACCTCACTGCTGAGCTTATGCACTTACACTAATCACAACATATACATTGTTGGATTAAAATAAAGACCGTTACAGAGTAAATGCATGTGTAAATCTGAAACTCTAAAATCGTATTGAAGTGTTACTGTCTAAGTGTGGCAATCTAAATGTTTGAGTGTCTCCATCATGCTTACTTGTGGTAGATGAGTAGCGGCAAAGTAAAGAGCATCTGGAAGAAGCAGCGTATGGCGCTGATCTCTATGGCGTGGACTCCCTGGATGGTTTTCACCAAGAGCGCAATGATGGAGAAGAAAACTGTGGACAGCAAAGCATAGAACAAACCAAGACCTGGACATGTCTTTGGTTTCTCGGAGTCTGAGAAAGAGATGGAAAAAAAAAAAAAGGAAGAGAGAGTCAAAGAACAGGGAGTTACGGCTGGGAAGCAGGTAGGTTTATGGGGGGGAAGTGACTATTTCACATTCCATCTTAAAAATTTTGCCGATTTTTTAGACCTGTCACAATAATTACTCTCTCCACATTGTATATTATACAGACGTGATCTCAATCATTGTTGCTAAACTTGATATTGCCCGTTGTGTTTACATGCGTGTTTGTTTACATAAGAATGACAATTTTTAGCAACATGACGCCAGAATAAACATCCGGGTTTTCCCTACCGTTGTAACACTTTGGGCATTGTGCAGACTTAAAATATGTCTATCAACAGAGTCCACCAGTCCGTTTCTATTTACTGAGCATAGTTATTGGTTGTGTAGTTTTATTATATTTATGTTTTATATGTTTTAACATTTAAATATGTTTCTTCGCATTCCAAATTCCAATTTGGAATTTCCAAGTTCATTGTTTTTTTTTTAACAGGTGGACTTTTATTCTTATGCTATCATATGACCATTATATGAGAGGCATAAATCATTTTTTTTAAATGACAATAATATTGTTTATCGCTATTATTTCTGGGAAAAATATATCGTCCAACTTAATCAGTTATGGTGACAGGCCTACTCATTTTGTGGTGCTTATGTTGATACAGTAATGGGCAAGGCAAGTTTATTTGTATCGCACCTTTCAACATAGCAAGTTGAAAGTATGTTATTGAGCTCCATGTGGCCTGGGTACAACATTCAGTGGAAAAAAACCTCCAACAAAGGGTCTGCAGAAGATAGCGGTGTAGTGTTTGCATACCCTGCCTGCAGAATAATAAACTGATATGCTGGTGGAGATTACATTCTGACCGCGGGTCGCTCAAACATCTTTCTTTGTATGTGTCCACAATGAGTGTCCTACTCTCCATTTCATCTATCATATACAGGATCACTTTTCTTAACCTTGCACCAAGCCAAAGACAACTCATTTTGTTATTCTTAGTTCCACTATAGTGCCTAGTCGACACACAGGATTGTTATTACAGTGTTACATTACTGTATTAGTATTACACTCATTTTTTTACTTCTTGGAATCATTGACTTGGACAATATCGTTTCGTAAAAACAATATATGATCATATCATCACTGTATTATTTCACTGAAAGTCTGTAAGCAATAATTAATTTCTATCTACACATATGTATGTCTAATAGGCTACTATACTGTCAGCCTTTCTTCAGCTGTGTGACGTGCCTCATGTTTCATAAAGGCATGTCCATTGGCCTTGAGTGCATTTCCCACTTCCTTGTAAACTTTCAAACAAAGCCAAATCACCTATCTTCCTCATACAAAGTTGCACAGATGGGAATATCCTGCTATACTTTATTTTTTTTGTGAGCAAAAGATATTCAGATCACCATTGTAGCCTTCGGGATGGAAATCTTTTGATTTATCTTTTAAAAAAGGTCTGCGATATGCTTAAAGCCACAGGTATGGTGACACAGTAAAAGTGCACAGTCATCTTTCCTCTTTCAGGATGAGGCAAATGTTGAACTGGTTTACAGCAGTTTATCTTTATCTGCATCATATTATAGTCATTATTAATTCAGCATGCAATGTGTATCAAGAAATATGGACCACCTTATTTTTTATCATAAATAGATTTTCGTTCATTAAAAATGATTTTTTTATGCATGGCTCACATCATTAGGGCACACTTCTGTGACATAAATCGTATTATGAAATTACATAATTTGTGACGCCCTTAAAGGAAAAGAAAGGGTCTTTGTGCTTTCTTTCAGCTACAGCCCTGCTAATAGGCTAATAGCCTCCACGTGATGTCATCATCACTGATAATACTGATACATGACGTTGCACGGTTGTATAACGTATACTATTTTATAACGTGGGGCTTCACAGGAAGCCATTGCTTCCCTGGCTCTATTTCCGCATCTTCTTTCCATCACTGACATGCGACGTGAGGATGGAGACACGTATCACTTCAGTTTTAGATTGCCTACTGAGCCGGCTAAGTGCGTGCGCGCGTTTGTTCTCTACCTTCACCCGCGTTTCCGTCTCGGGTAGCGAGCCTGCCTCTGACGCAAAACACCGACGGGCAAAGCGTTTTTTTCTCGCTGCCTTCCGGCGAATCCTCGCCCCTTCTCGCCTCCTCAGCATCGTCGCCGTGGTCACGCGACACATGGCTGCAGTTACTCTGCAAGTGGATCCTCGCAGCCGTCCGCTCATCATCGCCACTCTCGTCGTCGTCGTCGCTGCTGTTTGTGCCACGGCTGTCAACTCTGTGAAACACGACAGTCACGCCGTCCTCTACGCACGAAGCCCGCTCGTGTGCACAGTGGTTGCGGTCGCCCATGGTAAGATGTGACGGCTGAGCGGCAGCATGCCTCGGACAGAGTGCTGTCCGCTTTCTTCGGTGCCCTGGGTGACTGGGAAGGCAAGGTTAATGACTAACCTTGGTGGTGGCAGACTAACTCCCATGCGGTGGTTACTTTATCCACCTGCAGGACAACTAAAACATTACCCAACGTTTACGCCCATAGCGGAGGGAGGCAGTGGAGATTTGAACCAACCAAAACTCAGCGTACCCACATTTATGAAAAACATATATATAGGCTGATGTATTCAATATGTATTAAAGCTGTCTTAGTGTTAGATGATTATGACTCTTTTGTTTTTCCAAAAGCTTCCAAAGATCATAACCATGTATGATTTAGTTGGAGTTGGCTTGGGGCAGATTTACTGTAAAAAAAAAAATCATTTATACTGGCGAATAAACAACAATAATAACTGCGTCTGTGATTTTACATTTTAGTATTTTATTACCACTGTGCTGTACAGAAAATACAATGAGCAAGATGACAGATGAATGGCTATTATCCTCTATCCTTGCCTAACTAGATTAGACTGACACAAGTACGCCTACACTGTCTTACAGAAGTAGCATGTTACACAGCGTTTCAGGAGGTGACCCATGTCACTAAATTCTATATCTATGAAAAATAAAACACTCGAGTGTGGTCCGCTCTACATACAAAAGCAATATCACATAAAGTATTTTACACCGTACTGTAAAAACGTAAACATTATATTTGGCAAATCAGTGAAGTTGTTAATTGTTACCCAAATTCGGTTCCTTTTGTGTCAGAATAAGAGGACCCAGTGCTGCCCAGTGGTTGGCTTTTTAGTCACGGAGTAAAGACAACAATGGTTTTGTCAATCAGGGAGAAAAGGGGCAAGAGTGCAGTGAAAGAGGGAGGGCTGGGGGGGGACACAGTGGGATGCTTCTAGCGAGGCATTCATCAGGAATCAACACTGAGTGTCTGCATCATGCGTGCAGTCTTGCTTAACTGACGGTCAGGGAGTAGAAAGGACAGAGAAGGTGTTTTTCTCACAATGTTAAGTGGATTCATTTCATATATTAGGGTCACTTCTTTAAGTGGTAAGTAATTACAAAAGACTGATAGGTTGACTAGCTAAAAAATTGGGCTGGAAGAATGTACATAATCCTCAACAAGTAGTTCAATTTTTACCCACGTTTGGTTTGGAAGCTTGTAGTATTTTCAAGCTCAAGTCTTATAGTAACAAACTGACTTTGCCAACCAGGTCGTTGCTGCTGTTAGATTAGATTCCAATCCGAAAAAGATGTTTGCACATTGTCTATCTTCTACAAGCTACTAAACAACCCTGACTTTAAAACCGATGAGTCATATGACCCAGTGCTTGTAGACAACGTCCACATATGTTCCATTGTGAATAATCTCTTGTAATGCCGTTTTACTTTGAAGTAAGTTTTCCTGAAAGAAGACATAAATTAAGAAAAGTTCTCTTTTGTGTTTGTAGTTTTTCTAGACAAAACAAACACAGACTTCAACCTGAACACCTCTCCCTCAAGAATGTTTCCCTATTGGCCTATTATTGCATGATTGTTAGCACTACCAAAACTAAATCTTTTCCTATCAAATCCCTACAATAGAAATACAAATGCACGGAGTTGAAATGAAGAAATATACTCTGTCTACTAACTACAAGAACACCTGCATGGTTAAATAAAAGACAAAAGCAGTGTTTTCATAGCTTGTTTTTCCTGAAAGATAGTCAGTTCGCACTCTACGTTTTTTTCAAATGGAGATTAAGGCATTTCCAAATAGTGAGGAATCAAGATGAAGTAGTTGCAGCAGGTTTGCCAAACATAGGCATCAGGGACTGTGTAGAATGTATTTTCAGCGAAATAAACTCAGTGATCATAACAAATTAATTTCAACCACCTAATCTCAGCATAAAGGTCCTGAACTGTATTTGAAATATCTCTTTCGATGGTTTGAGCTTCTGCTTGAAACTTCCTTTTCTTTAAACTCAGGTGGGAATTGCTGGTGGATTCTAATGAGACCGATAAGTTCAACACGTTCACAGAAGAGAGCATTTGAATGGTATAGTGCACATAATTTATCCGAAATTAGACGAGGAGTTTAATTACTCAAATCGATCATGAGGTGCTCATATATCTGAGTTTTCCCCTTGAAGCTGGATGCGAGCAGGAACACGCGGTCGTCAATGGAAACCAAAGAAAATGCTCGAGGTGCCTGGATATTCAGCTCCTGAGACATGACAAACTGGCCCCTCTCGGTGTCCCATTGGTAGACCTGCGTCAGTGAATAATCGCTGCCCAAGATGGCATACTGCCAGTTGCCGATGGAGACCGGCTGGAACACCATGGAGCCACGGGAGGGAAATGTCTGGACCTCCTTGAACATGGCACCATCCCAGCGCATCACCTTGGAGTCCCCGATGAATCTTGTCAAGCAAATGAACAGCTCACCTTTGAAAAGATTTAATGGACTATTTAGTTTACACACACACACACACACAGCTACTAAATGTGGATGTCAAATAGAAAAACTCACAAAGACAGTTTATGTAATTCCAAAATAATTCATAGCATATCATTTATAGCTACTTAGCAAAGCGTCACGAGTAGATGAGCTGTCCCTTTACAAAGAAAGAAATACAGAGAATATTATACAGGCATGATTTATGGGGAGGTTTTATGGCAGTGGACAGGGACATTGCCCCTTACAATCGAATGATTATGAGCAATGACAAATTTACGTGTAATAGATTACAGCTATTATTAAATTAACCACATCGAAGGAAATATTAAAGACCCCAAAGTCCGAAAATGACCTCCTAACGTCTATTCCTAACCACTTTTCCTTGACCTTTATGGAAAGCGTCATGGGGTCAAGGAAAGATGTGAAGGAGAATTCATGAGGAGTTGGGAAAAGACAACCGTGGTGTTTAGAGAATCCTACACTTTCCCTAAGCTACGGAATTATGATGCGACGGCGGATGTCACTGACGTAGGTCTGCCATGGTGAAACTACAACAAAGGAGGACTGTAAAACGTGCAACGTAAAGGAGAGAAACCGGAGCTCCTTCCTTCCTGCTGCTGTCACACTTAACGATCAACACTGTCTCCAGTAGAAACTGACAATTCCCTTGTGCAATATCAATGAAACTGTTCAATATCAATATTTCCTTTGTGCAATAATGTGGGTTCAATGGTTTGGTTATATTTAGCTTTTTAACAGTTTAATAGTTTTTTTTTTTACTGATGCTTCTTATTATTGACAACTAGAATTTGTTCAATTATACTTTGCTATATTTACTCTTCATTTTATTTCATATTCTTTCTTTTTTTTAAACTTATTTGTTACATGTTTGAAGTAAATTGATACATATAAAATGAAACGAAAGGATTGTTACTCTCTATTCATATTCATCAACGTGAATCCCATGACTTTATGACTGTATGAGTATAATTGTTAAACCTGTGTTAGATAAGCATATTATCAGTTGTTTTCATGGACGGCCGAATGGTGCGTCACTTTAAATGTTGCCACTGTAAGGAATTGTGGGGCGGAATTATCTACTTTCCTTTTGTAAAGGAAGGTCCAGTGTTTCCTATGCTGAAGGAGCTAGTAAAGGAAGCATTTAAGCACCTCTCCTCAGCATTTAGAGAATTCGAACAGCTCTTATCATGGCGGTCACTTAGATTTTAGACTTCCGGGTCATTTCACTCAGTTAGGAACCTTCCTAAGCAAAAAGGACTATTCGACCGCAGCCATACACATGCTATTCAAGCTGCAGCTCTCACCTTTGACCCGGAAGTGTTTGACAGAGAAGACGTCCTCCATGTCTGGTATGTCAGTCCTGCGTTCAAACTGTTTCTGGTTCCTGTTCCACTGGTAGACAACGGGCCTCTGGGAGCTGCTGGACAAGATCAGGTGGGGTTTGTTGGAGATCTCCAAATATTCAACGTCTGTGTCGCGGAACCACGGGTGGAGCGACTGGTGGGAGTAGAAGCCATTGCCGTTCCATTTGTACACTGTTGTGGAGCCCGCCTATGAGAACAACATGTGTAAAATGTCAGAATAGGTTGTTTAAAACCTACACATATTTTGTGCTTAGTACAAGTATAAGGCTAAAGATGTGTGTGCGCGCCTGTCTTTGTGTGCGCCTGAGTGTCCCCAAACATTTGTGAGAGCATGTGCAAACATTTGGCAAGGCCAGGGTAATCAGCAGGAGCAGACTCAGACCGACATGCTTCTGCAAAGGACACCAGGGGGAAGGAGCAGTACACATACAGGGGCTGGACACGATAACACACACACACCTGCACAATACAATGTAGTTACATCAAGTACTTTAGAATATTAGAGAAGCAACACTAGCCAACCTTAGAGCTGTCAGCGATGACAAAGAAAGACTCTCCGTCAATCATGAACGTCTCAATGTCGTTAGGTTTGCGAATCTTCAGGATGTCAATGTCCTGGATCTTGATGAACTTGTTGGCGGAGGTGTCGCGTTTGTAAATGTGCGAGCCCCCGAACAGCTGGGCCACGATGACAAAGAGGTGGTTGTCGATCACCATGGGCTTGCAAACCACAGTGGAGGTGCCTGAACAAGAAAAAGAGAAGACACATCAAAATGTTATTATTATTATAGGACAGATAACCTCTTTGACAATAGCAGATTTGCACAGGATTCCCCCATAACATCAGCTCACTTTCAATGGTGTCGTACGTTCTGAAGGTCATTTCCACGTGATCCCATTCCAGGAAGCTGCACGTCCCAGCAAACGGTTGGGCAAACACAACATACTGATCTTCTCCAAAGCCGAAGGCCCCCACCGAAATGGACTCAAACTTCAGCGACTGATAGGAGGCGAACTCTGAAAAGTATGACATGGCGATGAATTCCGACCTTTATCTTTAAATAATCCTTTCATATTGATACATTCCTTCATAAGCTGGTAGGATGAACACAGCCTAACATCTCAGCTTTATTCTCAGCACTTGTTGAGAAGAACAGGAAGGAAACGAGAGGGTGAGGCAGTTAACTGCAAGCTAATGTTAGTTTATTATTGCTCCTATGACAGAAGATAAAACCTGCTATGATGCAGTCGAAAGAGTGTGGCAGCAGGTCATTGATCTTCTTCCCCTGCTGAACGGGTGGACCGCTGCAGTAGATCTGGTCCAGGGTGGCATTGGTGTGGTGCATCCACTCCACCAACCACTTGAGGTTGCAGTCGCAAATCAGGTTGTTGCCACGTAGATCCCTACACGTACGGACGGATCGTATGGGACATCAGTGGGTTTGTTAAGACATGACATCATAAATAAATACTGTTGAAACATGTATTTCAGGCTTTTTATTTCCAATCCCTGTTCAATCCCCCCCCCCCCCCCCATCTGTCTCTCCCCTACTTGGTTGCACTTTGGCTTCAAGCCAGGAAAGCCATAACAACAAGTGTCCTATCTCCTGAGTGTTCTCTGCTCGTCGCCCACTCTGTCTGAATTGCCGTTGACCTTGGATGTGTGTATTGAATTCATACGCACGCGCACACACACACACACACACACACACACACACACACACACACACACACACACTGTAGCCTGCATTATTCCAGCTGATTGTGGCCGTGTGACTAAAGCGAGGATCCAATTATTTTCTCTGTAATTTACTTCAACATTCTGGAATTTTAACCCGTTTTCTTCTTCTTTACCTTTTCCCATTGCAGCAGGGAATAGCTTCTCCTACAATTGCCTCACTCTGATTCTTCTTTCTTCTTTTACTCCTCATTGTGCTCTTTTTCCCCCAGATTCTTACTTTTACACCCTTATGGGGGATTTCCTCTCTTTTCCGTTTTGTCACATGACTGTATTTAATCCCACCGTTTAAAAAAAAGAAGAAAAAGGAAGATTTTGCTCAACATTTACCCTGCACCCCTACCAAAAAATATAATAGTTCTACTATCCTTCGGTACATTACTATTTCAGAATAAATACCAATCAAGACAACTCAATTGTTGATTACAAATCAAGTCAGAGTTGTTTCTTGTATTAACTTTAACCGTACACACACAGAAATGGCTGTTACAGAACAAATCAATAAATAAGATTATAGGTTAATTAATTGTTTTGCACCCTGAGTGACAGACAGACCGAACTCACACTTTTGTCAAAGCGTCCATGCCCTTGAAGACATCTTTTGGCAACGTCTCTAGGTTGTTGTAAGCCAGACTTCTAAAGAACAAAGAGAAAAAAAATAATACACACAGTGATTGAGTTATAGTTATATAGTTATAGTTATATAGCTATAGTTATATAGCTATAGTTATAGTGATTGAGTAAATAGTTATTAGAGGGGAATATCCTTCTCGAATGCTGTCAAGTGAATGATATATCTACTGGCTTAATGCCAACCATCAAAACCTGGCCCTTTAGAGACTTCATTTGTGAGCGAGAGACTGAACTCCAGAAACCAGAAAGAGAAGTGAATGAAATGAAATGTCAGCGTAATTCATGAACACTGCATTATTTATTTGAGAGTTGGTTTTCCAGAGAGAGGGAGGCCATTTTACTTTGAGTTTGAGTAAGAATGCACTCTCTGAACAGACGGGGATGAAGCAGGGTGGACGGGATTCCAGCCTGTGCCCTTTAATAATGTATTAACTGTATGTGACACATTTCTAATTTCTTACAAATCTTCCATTTTGTTAAAAATGTGAAAACTACACATTGTGGTTTTGCATGGCGTTATGTGCCGGGCTATTTCTTGGCCTGGGGCAGTGACTTACTGGAGTCACAGCTGGTTGCCGCTTAAAACCCCAACTTGTTGTATTTTTTTCAAATATAAAAAAATTAGATATGTCATGTTGACTAGGGACATTACAAGTTTTTGTGTAGAACGTTAATACCAGCTTTTCTATAATTGCAGAAGAAATTGTATAATTAGGTCAGAATGTCTGCTTTCTCTCCAAGAGCCACTAGAGGGCTAACGTTTTCTCGTGTATTGATTATGCCCTAATTAATGGGATGTTTGCTGCAAAAAGTCATCAAGGCAAAATTTCCTCTGATGTGGATTTTGCTTCTATCGGACAAGTTGCTGTCAATACTATCAGCACTCAAGGCATAATGAATGCAGACTGACAATCGTATGGCGTATGATTATGTGCAATGTGGGTAATTATGCTTTTTGTACGAGCATAAATGGTGGAAAATTTCTATTGATGTGTTTATCTTTTTACTTTTGATCTATCCCAGTTTATGTAACTTATTTTTCTCTGATAGCCACTAATGTTGTAACTAACACCAATATTCACAGTTTCAATCATGCTGCTTTGTCTTATCATCAGAGCTATACATTCTCCCACCAAAAGCATGCATGAATAAATGCTAATAAACAGTTTTCCTTTCATATCTGAGTTATTTCCTCTACAGTACAACATTTCCTACCTTTGAAAATGTGATAGGAGAGAGTAAAAAGTCACCCTTACATGCATGCATCAACAACAAGGAGGAACACATTCATAGATCATCACAGATTATAGGTCAGTCAGTGTAAGGTTACAGTACAGTTATATTTAGTCTTGACCTACAGGTCACTCATGTTCTCATTTATATTTAGTTTTGGCAAGCTCCGCAGTTCAGACACATAGAATAGCTTTCCACTACACGACTATTTCCTGTATCAAGATTTTCATTACCATTAATTCTGTAAACAAGAGATGCCATCTTCCATAAATACCATAAACACAGATAGAGTGCATGCTATGCATTACTTATCACAATAACACAAGCACAATAGACCCCAAGGCCCTCTGCAGAAGATACAAGGGCACTGTTGGTCACATTAGTGAAGCACATCTAAAGTCACAAAATCATTCATCTTGCTATGCCAAAAAATGTGTGAAGAACAACTCTGCTGATCCACTAAGGCAATGTGACATCCAGATCTGCCCTTCAGCAACCTGATCCAGCTGCACCTTCAGCCCTGGACATCACCACTGGCAACAGCACTTCTGCCTACCTTTGCATTTCAGACAGTGACAAAGTGATACAGAGAGGGAAACAGGAAATTGATGCACAGTTTATGTTAGAATAAGATGAATCCTAATAATCCCTTACCTCTCCTGCAGAGAAATGACTGAAACAGTAAATTTGAAAGTGGCTGCTCTCGCTGTGAATCGTTAGGGGTAAAGATAAAGTTATGAATTATAAAAGGGGAGAAAGAAGGAACAGATACAATGAGGCAAGGTCCCGTCGGCAGGAATAAAGGATGAAGGATGCAGAGAAGGAAAGAAGGATGAAAGAAAGATAAAACATGTTTTCCAACATGGCCACCACAGAACCAAAATACTTACAGATGTATCAGCGTTTTCAGGCCCCGGAAAGCATTTGGGGATATCGATGCAATTTTGTTATTTTCAATAAATCTGTGAATGAGAAATATTTCATTAGCATTTTGATAGATTGTGGTTAACAGTATGACAGTAATCCTTCACAATTACCAAATATATTGTGACCCTGAAAACTGAAATCCTTTAACGTTTTTGCATGTCTTCTACCTTTGCGGTTGTGGGTGGCTGACAGCAGTAACGGAGGGTTGTGAGGACAACCCGAGCTCTACTTCTAAAGGCATACACTGTATACAAACCAAGTATCTAGTACCAGAAAAAAACATGTCAGAATGAATTACTTTAAAGGCCTGTTTGCTAGTTTCTACAATAAAGGTTTCAAATTAGAAGTTGGAAGTGTGTTTGACTGATGTTCACTGGTGTATGCCAGTCAGTTCATGCTAGTATAATACAGACAGTATGCAACTGGGGAACTGTTTGTGTATTTTACATCCCTTCCCCGCACAAATAGAAATGAACCCTTCATAAATTACAGATAAATACTTACAGGTATTCAAGATGTGGTAAACCCAGGAACGCATCCTCATCAATTAGGTCCAATGAATTTGCTGTGAACAATCTGCGAAACAAAAACCCTGTAAGAACAGTAGTATTCAGTTTCCACAGCGCCCCTAAATCCCTAAATTGTTCATGTTTCATAACTCAAACGTTGACTGGTTTGAACTTGAAAACAATAACAGTCAGCAGGGAGGAAATGTTACGATGTTGAGAAACTGTTTGGTACTATAACAAAACTTGGCTTTTTTTTTTCTTTAAACTAATTTAATCATATTGATTTATTATTACCTAAACCAGTAGCTCTAAGTCCACGTCAGAGGATAAGAAGGATAGAGTTACTGTAACAGCAGACAACACACTCATTCAGCATTTCTTCCCACAGTAGTGAATGAAATGAATAGAAGAGAAATGGCAGATCACTCCTACATGTTTTTCATGAAATGAATGAGAGAGAGGGGAATGGATGCCTCCTCCCACATGTTTCTGAGTCACACGGTAAACCAGTAATGTAAGAATAGTGTCCAACAAGAATATAGTGTGCACCTCATCCTCATTAAATCAGTTTTATGATAACTTATATTTTATGTTTTACGTCAAAGTGCTGTAAATCCAGAGAAGGAGTTTGGCCATAAGTTAAAACCTTATAATTCCAAGTTGTCACAATGCAGGAAATAGAACTCTTCGTGTTTATTTCTCACTGCACGCTCAGCAAACCAGTGACAGAGACATTTTACACTCACAATGTTGGCAACAGAGAAGCCCCATGCATTGATTAAGTAATACTATAATGGAGGTTAAGAGACTTTGGGTCACCTTGGCAGTAAATAATGACAGAGGGGACGATGACACTCGTTTATTTCCCCCAGTTACATCTACTCTCCTTCTGGTCACAAGCCTTCATGCACATCCAGGCTGATTAAGTGCCATCTGAGCATATGGAAGAAGTGATGCCAAGAAAAATGTTTTGCGAAGACAAAGTGATGCTTGGTGACAGCATGCTGTTGTGTGCAATAAACTGAAGCAAGTGTGATTAGAGAGCACTGTTAAGTCTGACCTTGCTGTTAATTTGTGGATTTGCAATAACAAATTGCTCAATAAACTCTAGTCCTATCAAAATGTACAATAATAGAAGTCATATGTCAAAGAAACGGCGAGATAAACTCCATAGTTAATTATGTATATATTGTTGTTCCTCTTTTTTTCTAAGTGCTGTCTTTTGGGGAAAAAAGAACATGTCCATTATTTATCTTTGCCTCTCTATATCTTCCAAAGACACACACACACACACACACACACACACACACACACACACATACACATACACACAGCTCCTCTCCCCAGCCCCTGCTGTTAGTTGCTGTAGCCATGTGGTCTATTGCATAATCCTGACACCATTACAGAGAATCCCCCTTTAAATCTGCATATCAGCCTCCAACAGAAGTCCTCTGGGACCTACTGCCTCATTGTTTGATTCTGTAAAACACAGACAGACAGACAGATCTATCTATAGACAGATAGATAGATTCTAGATAGATAGACAGATGGATAGATGGGTAAATACTCACAGCAGTTGCAGGGCAGGGGTGTGAACAAAGCTTCCTCCTACGATTTCATTAAATCCAGACTTGACAAAAGATCTGAATGGATGGAGGATATATATGAAAAGGAAATTTATCTGAAAGTATAATAAAGATGCAGAGATCCGGGTACACTTAAAGGAGTATTTCCGCAAGCTTTCCTGAAAATTCACCATATGAACAATAGAATCAAGAGTATATTCAGGAGCAGGGCCACTTACAGTGAAACGACGTCGGACGGGAAAGTGTGAGGCACGGATCGGACATTCTCACACAGTGCATTGTCTTTGGTGCAGGTACATCCAGCGGGGCATCTGGCCGGTCTCACTCTCCGTCCGTCTGCAAAAACAAAGCTGACAGCGGCGACCCAAACCAGCAGCGTCCATCCTTTCCATCCTCTCACTGCTCTGCCCGGGTATCCCATTCCTTCTGTCCCGGTCGAGTATTATCACTCCTGCACATGCAACTTCTCGGCTAAATCCTCCAGGATTTGTAACCCCCAGATTTGAAAAGTGTTTCTATTTGTTATATGCGCTTCTGTCTTGTTTGTTTTAATGATAGGAGCTGGCGGTGTTACGCTCAGATGCAGGCTGGTGTCTATGCTTCTTGCGTCTCAATAGGAAGGCACCAGTCCAGCGGATTCGTTCTGCAAGGGCGCCGGATTACAAATGCGGGACAGACAGGACATGAGAACAGAGAACAGTCTCAGATTCTTGTCATTGAAAAAGGAATCATCACAAATGATCATAAAAACACGCTGCTGAAAATGTGGTTCTTATTAGTATGCCGCTTACAAATAAGTTGTAGGCTCAATGCTGCAGCCGTGAAAACAAATAAAAGCGTAAATTCCCGTGAGAGAGAAAGAGATGGAGGAGGGGGGGCTGAGGCCCCAAGGTGTGCTTTTTTTATCAGCAGTGCCAGCTATTATTTATGCGCGCTTCAGAGCCGTGCATGGTTAATGGGAAGCAGCTATTCATGAGGCACCTGCCTCACTCATTCACATGCTGCATCTTTTCTTCTCTGCCTTGGCATAATAATGACATTCACTGTGAAAAGAAGATTTGTGTAAGCCGCGTGCTTAAAAATAAACATGACATTTTAATTATGTGATATTGTGGAGTAAGAGATTATGACGTTTAAAGTTGTTTTTTTACTCCTACAACATCTTAAAACCCATATGAAGTTGTGATAATTATGTGATGAAATAGCATACGGACAACAGAGCACTGAATTTAATAAATAGATGTACTTTTAAAGAAAACACATGAGAGCAATTCATGCTCTTTAAAGGATTTGCCTCTCACGTCCTCTTTCCCGCAGTCACACATTGAGTCTTTTGTTGATGGTTGTGGAAAAGTCATGAAACACTGGACTTCTATTCCCAGACTGGGGTGAACTTTCACCCCCGCCAACACTTATGATCCAAGTACTCACTTATAGCCTACACAAACATTCAAATAGCATAATACCCCCCTCCCATCTACAATTCAAACGCCCACATGCATCCTCTGTATTGTTCCTCCGCGAAGCGATAAGATCCCCGAATTGCCAATTAATCAGTGTAATTGTGCCATTTGTCCAAAATGAAAGACATTTCAATAAAGTATTCATTGGAACATGTTGTATGATGACTTGCCCTCTAATCAATAGGCTTTGGAAAAAAATGGGTTTATGATGATGAATAAATGGGTGAATAGGTACACGTGACAAACAAACCAACGTCTTCTTAGCCTAGAGATTGAACACATTTAGTTTTGAGCATCTTATTTTGAAATCACAAAGTGTCCCCGACGACTCCTGTATCGACGTCATCACATGGCGACGCACTTTTCATTTTGTAAACACTTGTGAGCTGGGGACAAAAGTGAGGCATCTCATGGATATTCTTGTGAAGGTGACGTGTCTTATAAAGCCGAAATCCGTTTTTTCTTTCCCCACCCGCGATACAAACACGTTTAGAGGAACATTTGTGCTTCGTGTGTTCGTCACTTGCCAGTTAGCATGAAACATTAGCATGAAGATAAGTTAGCCAGTTGCCCACAGGGTTGCCTGCTAACGTTACTCTCTTGATTCCTCACTGCGTTGCTGGCTGTATTTACGCTTTAAGCGCAAAGCAACATTTTCCTACACATTAGCTGCACGTTTAGTCCAACGATTAATGCCAAACCAAAAATGGCACCTTACAGTTGTTGTGCTCTGTGGCATCTAAAAGCAGATAATACGAGTTTGGCTGAAATGAGTTCCTGTGTTTCAGGTGCACGGAAGTGGCGGGTATGACTCGGACTTCAGTGATGACGATGGGCAGGGAGAGACCTCAGAGAGAGGCCTTAAAAGGTAAGCTTTTACGACTGTAGACTTATACATAAGCTCGTTATTATTCATCAATTTATTCAATGATAAGTATAAATACATGGGGTTTTGTCTGTGCTGTACAAACTGTTAAACAGTGTAGGAAGTCATGTCATTCAAAGTCTGATATACTGTATTTTGGAGAAACTTGTCTCCAGTAGCTTACACATACACTGATGTGGGTGGACAGCCTCGCCCACTAACAAGCTTTCTGTGTTTATTTGAACCTTTGTCAGGAAACACGAGGAAGAAATCCTACAGAAGCCATTCCAGAAAGATCGGCACTCCCAGAAAGCTCACCGGAGTTTCCACTCTAATGAACTGGACAGGTGGTACTGTACAATAGCAGTGAAATACAATGCATTCAGACCCCTTCACTTACATTGAGCTAAAATCCTTTCAATACTTTAGTGAAGCACCTTTGGTAGCAACACAGCTTCAAGTCTTCTCGGGTATAACGTGACAAGCGTCGAACTCCTGGATTTGGGGGATCTTCTGCCAGTCTTCAGGCCAGTTTAATCTCGGTTTCATCAGACCAGATATTCTTGTGTGTCACCGTCTTCTTTAGGTGCTTTCATGTGTTTCACGGAGGATAGGCTTGAGTCTGGCCACTCTACCCTAAAGCCCATGGTCACATCTTTTACCCGTTGGATTGCTCAGTTTGGCCAGCTCTAGAAAGAGTCCCGGTTCCCGCTATGCTAGTGGGAACCTGTTTTTTTGTTTTTTTTGTAGCCTTACCCAGAGCTGTGCCTCGACACAATCTTGTCTCTTGCAGGCAGTTCCTTCAACCTCAAGGCTTGTTTTTTTTTTTTTTGCTCTGATGCAGATGAAGCTGTGAGACTTTATATAGACACCTTATATGCACAGGTGTGTGCCTTCCCAAATGATGTCCAATCAATTGAATCTACCACAGGTGGACTCCAATCAAGGTGTAGAAACATCACAAAGCTGTGCTAAGTGTCAGAGCTAAGAGAAAACCCTGTTTTGGCTTGTTATTAAGGGGTATTGAGTGCAGATTGATGTGGTAAAAAATAATACAAACAATTTTAGCATAAGACTGCAATTCAACAAAATGTTAAAAAAAAAGTTGAGGGGTCTGAATACTTGAATGAACTGTATACGAGTCATTTTATTTTACATGTTTGCTATCTATAATCATGGCAGAGCTTCCCGCTCACTTCTGTCATGTATTTTAATAGCTCATCTCAAAATAATTGTTATTCTTTTCCAGTCACATGCACTTTACATGTTCACATTGCTACTAATGTCAGCTCTGATTTTATGTGTGTGTGTGTATATATATATATATATATATATAAACTGCAGTCATTCAACATTGATTTACACTCCTGACGTATGCAGTGTCACAAACTATTTTCTTTACACCGTACTTTGATGAAGATGAACAAAATATGCCGTCAATGTGATCTAATCCTTGTTTATCTTTTAGATAACTGTTCTAATTCTGTTTTCAGAGAGGAGGCCAGGAACAGAAGAGCCCACCTGATATCATTGAATGCTGTATCCTTTTATAATTTGGTGTTTTTTTTCATGATGTTCCTTTTATAACGATAAAACAGATTGATAAAACTACAGACATTTTGCCATATACATATGTTCAAATAATCGTATAACAATAATTATAAAATACATTTGATGGAGGTCAAGTGCTCAGTTCCCTTCATTGAAAACTAAATATTTTTTTGCAATTCAAAGTGAGCGGACCTTAAGCACTGTCTTCAGTTTGAGCGACATAAGAAGTTTGTCGGTGACTACATACTTTATTATGGAGGACAAATGGCCGACTTCAATCGCTCTGTGTAAGTGTTAAGTCTCCCAGTCAAGCTTGACGATCAGTCATCTGCTGTCACTCTAGGCTGAAACTAATGTGAATATGCTAACCGTTGGTATTGCGTTGTTTTCATTCGACAACATTTTTAATAACAATTCATACCAGTTTCTCCTCATCTGCCTTCTCATTAAATCTTTTCTTTCCCTCAGAGCCACGGACAAAACCGATCTGGATGTGCTGCGCGAGAATCATCGCTTCCTCTGGAGGGACGAGGACGAGGAGGACATGACATGGTGATCACTCATCGCCAGCTCCCCACACAGGCTGCTGTAATATTCAGTGTGCTTTTAATTAGTGCTCCGTTTCAGATGAGAATGTCTTATCTTCTGCATTACTTCTGTTCCAGGGAGAAAGATCTTGCCAAGAAGTATTACGACAAGCTGTTTAAAGAGTACTGCATAGCTGACCTCAGCAGATACAAGGAAAACAAGGTGGGATGAGTGATTCGTTAGCCAGCTGAAACGGAAATACAGCAGCAGTAGGCGTTTAGTCGACATCAAACAATTAGACGGCACATACAGTAGCAGGTGGCTCATGATGCCTGTCGATTAGGGACTATTTTGAATACAGCAGCTGTTGTCGCACCAGCAAAATGCTGGAATGAGAAGCCAGTTTCAGACAAGAAAGTAAAGGATGTTGTAGTTTTTAAATGTGGTTGACGGAATCCAAATGATGACATACGTATGTATTATGTGCTTCATTAGGAGGCTGCTGTTAATCAACATACAGTGTTAAGTAATGGGACAAATACCTCTGGACACAAAATAGAAAAATCTTTCATTTTCTTGCACCTGTTTTGGTAATTCAAGTGTTGTTGTGGCTATAGCTAAGAATTATTATTATTATTATTATTATTATTATTATTATTATACCCACAAAATGTAGAGAAAGACAATAATAAAGCGAGCATAGACAGCTCAGCCATCCCAGACACTGCTCACTGCTGCCAGGACTCGGCAAGCTAATCCAAAATCACAGAATGAGCAAAGGCTAACATTCTATAACTCAGACACAACCTTCCACCACCACTGAGCCATTTTAGATAAATGTTCACGGTTATGATGCGTTTTGGCACCTCTAGTGTCCACTGGGCCATTCTGGTTTGAGGCCAGGCTTTAAAACTGATATGTTGAACCCGGGGGATGTGTGCTTACGGCTCCGTAGCGGCACGGTTTGGTCTATTGATGCTGCGCTCCAATGTGTGACTGTGAAGTTGCCAAATCTCAGATAGATGACATACTTGTATAATACATTATTCCCCAATTGACCGATAATGATAATTAGAGGCACTATAGTTTTTTTTACTTATTATTATTGATGCAAAAGGGCAGAACGAAAAGCAGTGATAATAACATCAAATACATAGGAATAGATTGAAACCAACAAAACAAAGCAAAAGAAGCAAACAAAAAACAGAAACAAACAACAGATATAACAATATTATTGTTATTACAAATCTAGAAGCTAAAGGCGGTTATGTGGGACACGTGTTTATGTGTACGAGTGCATGTATTTTTTTTAATTGATAGAAAAGAGACAGAAGAAGAGGGAAGCCTCAGCAAATAATAATAAGAATAGTAATAATATAATAAATGCATTAATAAATAAATACAAAAACAAGCTGAGGCACTAAAG